AATGATAAGAGATTGACCTTGGGTGACTAATGCCGGCGTTATTGTAATTTTCAAGTCTTATAATCGAAAAGTACTTCATGAAAAATTATTTTATTATGTGTTTTAGAAAGCTCTCAAGGTGCTATAAGAATATGCAATGAAAAATAGGGGGTTCCATTTAAAAAATTCAACCTTCATGACTCGCAGATTCCCAATGTCAATCTTTTATCATCAGTACATAGATTTTTTTGAAGCCCTATAACTTTGCTTTTATATATTTTTCACTAGAAAAAGTATCTCGTTTTTGAGATACTTTAGCATTTCCAGATTTTTTTCCTGAGTAATTATATATAAATCCTGTGTAATTATATATAAATATATGTGTATGTGAAGAGCAGTTTGTTTTCCAAATTTATGATTTTCGTACATAATAGTGCCACAAATAATAAATAATTTCGAAAACTTCTTCGATCACAAAAATCAGTATTTTTGAAGAAATATATTAAAATTTATTTAGAACGGCAGTTTTCAGGTCAATAACATTTTTAACTAAAGCGACCAGTATATCTTTATTTAACGTTTTCAAGCTTTACATTTAACATTTATAAGTAATTTTTTTGTGCCCTAGAAAAAAGAAACTAATAAATTATATACAATTTTGGCGCAAGACTAAAACTACCAATTAACTTAATTATATTTTAATAAAAAGGCAGCTTTCAGGCAATACATTTTCATGATAAAAAGAAACGACTAATTCATTTTACTGATTTACTATAATCATATATGAAAGAATATGGCATCTGCTAACGTATATATTACTAAAATGCAGTATTAAATAGAAGCATAAGAATAAAATTCCATATTATATAAAAATTCTGAAATGCATCATTTCGTTAAAAATTAAATTATATACAGACCAGTTTTCAGGTCTTGCATTCTTTCGTACATCTTAATAGAAAATTATAAGTTCCAATAACTGCAGTTTGATAATAGAAAATATGATAATAGATGACTAAGGGATAATTAAAACTAGGTTTACAATTCTTAAAAAAAAATGTTAGAATGTCCTAAAACAGTATTTTTTTCAGTTGTCCCTTCAGTTTTTTTATATCAAAAACTAACGATCTAAAAACTGCCGTTCTATTATTATCTAAAATTACCGTTTTAGCAAAAATTTTAATATCATTATTAAAATTTTTGCTGAAACTTAGTTCTCTCTCTATATGTCGCAATGGCACATTTTAGACTGTTTAATTTTCGACAAAAAAATCAAAAATTGTTAATTTTTTGTACGATCACTTTGACAAAGATGTGTTCATCTTAAAAGAAAATCAATTCCTGTAATTCCTTTAAATAAGGCTTTGGTCACACGAACTACTTATGTTCGCTTAAACGATCGATTCCGATTTTATTCCGTAGTTTGTCATATACTGATATTAAAATCGTTGACTCTGTTAACGATAATGACTAGTGCGATAATCAAATCTAATTACAGCTTCGTTCACTGTATTTGAATCTTGATCGATGGTATTAAAATTTTTGCTAAAACGATAGTTTTTAGATCTATGATGTAGCAACATATTGTGATATGCAAAATGGCATATTTTAGACCGATAGTATTAAAATCTTTGCTGATCACTTTGATAGAGATTTGTTTATTTTAAGAAGCAAATGATTTCTTCAAAACCAGACTTTGCTCGTACGAACTCTTCTTGTTCGTTTAAACAATCAATTTTATTTCGCAACAACAATTCAATTTTATTTTTTTAGTTTGTCATACACTGATGTTAAAGTCGATCATTGAATGAATAATGCGACATGCTGATAATCAAATCTAAAGCAAAGAGAACTCTAATGAGAGCAGCTCTAATGAGAGCATAATAATGTTTTTGAATCATCTCTAAAAAGCTGAGAGTATTAAAATTTTTTGGAAACGATAATTTTCAGGTTTATAAAAACGTTTTTTGTAAAAAAATAAGCAATCTGAAAACTGCCATTCCATTGCTACATATAGACTTGAAAACTATCAGCAGAAATTTTAATATTCTCGACCTTTCAAATATTATTCAAATACATTGAATGAAGCTGTTATTCGATGCTTCAGATTTGATCATCATGTCGTATTTGCCGTTCATCATAATCGACAATTTTATCATCAGTATATGATAGATTGAGGAATACAATCAATTATTTTAGCAAACAAGAAGAATTGGTATTAATAAAATTCTGTTTTAAAAAATTATTGAGATCAAGTTTAGACATTTCGGTACTCTTGGAAAACGATCTGAAAACTGTCATTTTACTGTATGTATACTGTATGTATATGTATAGACCTGAAAATTACTATTTGAACTAGATTTGAACATCATGATTTTTGCATACTAGAATTTTATAATAAGAGTTAAAACAAACCGCCGTCATATACAACTAAGTTAACATTGATAGGCACTAATTTTATAATATTTAGATTGAATATTACTATTAGATGTGTTTAAATATACAATTATGTTAACATATATGACATACGTCTTTAAAGATATGAAATATAAGTTAAATATTTATTGATATTAAAGTGACACTGTTTTCAATTATAATAGTATATGTATATAGAAGAGCAGTTTTCGGATCGATTTTAACATGAATCGGTTTCGAGATAGTTTTTAAATTCTGAAAGCTACATATGTTTAGTAATAAATTTCAGGAATTGTCTTTAAAATGATCGTAAATAATAATGTTATTTATAAGGTAAACTTTATATATATTGTATATATTTATACAGTTTAGTTACGAGACTAATTACTTGCCAAATCTTATATAATATAAATATACAGTTTGGACATGTTTGCACATGTTCAACGGAACAAGTTATAGGAACTTAACAAATTTAATGTACTAAGAGACTGTATATTTACGACAAACGACAAAAATGCAAAAGACAATCTTCTTATCGATTCTCGAAAATGTAACATTACCATATTTAATAAGCATCCTCAATTCTCGAGAAAATGTTTAAAATTCAGATTTTTTATTGACTCAAACTTTAATATCATGCAATAAATATTTGCAATGTTGTTATATGAGTTTCTTCACGAATTTAACTATTTACTTTATATAAATTCCCAAGTAATTAATGTCATAACTAAACTGTTTATAAGCATATATAACATATATATATAGCTTTTTTTATAAATAATAACATTTATATACGTTTAATATAAAAATATTGTTATCTGTTGGAAGTTTTAAGGACTTTATACAAAGAAATAAAATAACGATTGTTTTCAGAACAGTCCCTGAATCTACCGATAAACATATATGACTTTCAGATCAACCTGAAAACTACCAGAAGTCCTCGAAACTTCCGAGTCATGCCAAAAATCAATCTGAAAACCGCCTTTCTACATACGTATAGCTATATGCAATTATATTATAAAATATGTCCATTTATATAGAATTATATATATTTTTATATAATTTTATATAATTATATATAAAATATTTCTTCCCAAGGGAGGCTGAACATCCAATTAGTCCCCCAATATCTTAAAATTCATAACAAGGAATCTCCGATGAGAGCATAATTAGGAATTTTTTATGAACTCTTAAGGTAGTTTACCTCAACTATACGAATCAACGACAGACTCAAACATGACTAAATTTCAAGTAAATATATCGCCATGTAAAATTTAAAAAAATAATAATGCGAAGTATATTTTATATACTTATAATATTAAATCAAAGAATAAATTAATTTAAGAAAAAAAGAAAACGTCCATATCACGTAGTAAATAAGAGAAATTCGATCGTGGTAACGTTGCATTTTTATAAGCAAATGAATATAGGCATTTTTGCATTTTTATAAGCAAATGAATATAGGCAAATTATTTGTCAAGATATTTATACAAAAGAAAAAAATGTCCGCACATGTATTATAAAGAAAAATATATTAAAAGTACAATTTTAGCAAAAAAAAAAAGTATAAAGCGGCTCTCACGAAGAAACGACAAAAATGCGAAAGACAATCTTCTTATCGGTTCTCGAAAATGCAACATTGCCATATCTAATAGACATCCTCAATTCTCGAGAAAATATTTAAAATCCAGATTTTTTATTGACTCAAAATCTCAAAATTTAATATCATGCAATAAATATTTGCGATGTTATTACATGAGTTTCTTCACGAATTTAACTATTTGAGTTTTTCATTAACTTTTTGAATATGATTTCGCTATATTCAAAACAAAATTCATATTGCATCACAGCAAAAATAGCTATACTACAATGGTAGATATAGAAAAATTTACGATGTCTGATCGGTTATATGTATATTAGAAATGGACGATAATTTGAGCTCATCTTTTACAGGCATATGTATTAATATCTAAATTATTTGAGACGAAAATTTCAAGATATTCTTGAATAATGCATTTTAGGATATAACTATCTTAAATCAGTATAGTTGCGATTTTTGAGTTTCATCCCTCAAAACAACATTAAAACTAATCAAGTTCAAAAGGAAATCCTTAGAAAATAACATTGAATCTACAATACCTTTCAGGCATATTGTTCCAGTAATAATGCATTACAAAAATATACAATATAAAAATATATATTTTTTTTAGCCTTTAGCAGGAGCACTACCTTGCATTCAACACTCAAAACAGAACTATATTTGAAAATAAAAAAATTAATGATTTCAACGAAGAATTATCTGATTTATGAGTTCTATCTTATGATTCTATTATTATAATAGAATAATTTTTATAATTTGACATTTCATTATAATTTAGTAACATGATAATAACAGTAAGATTTACAATTTAATATGTTATTTAATGTATTGCTTATATATACTCATTATAATATGAACGTTTTGCATTATTAATTCACAATGTGATGTTTTATTTTAAGATACATAAATATGTACAATATACATAGCTAGGATATATACAATAAAATATTTATGTTATATTTTGACAAGATACGCGCGGGCGGATTGTCAGTGTGATTGCAATTTTTAGCAGCATCAACTCGGCTTTCGACGAGCTTCGGGTCCATGTGCCAACCTTTCCTTACGAAAAGCGACTGTCAAAGATTGATACCTTGCGCCTGGCCATAGCATATATTGCTCTCTTGCGCGAGGTTCTAGCAGCCAGGCTTGATCCCTTGACATACGTCGAGAGGTGTCTTAGAGGTGAAATAAATGGCGAACGAGCTGAATGGAACACGAGTGGTACGTTTACAATCATCTAAATATTTTAAATACATTATAACACATTAAAAATTATAAGTATAAAAGTTATAAACAACCTATGTATTCTATAACGATTCTATAACTGGGTCAACGTCAGATATCAACTTCCGAATGTCGGGCCTGTACTGGCTGTAACATCGCGTCGATATAATATCCAAATTATAAAATTATAAAAAGAGTACTTTATCCAAAAGAGTATAATATCCAAATTATAAAAAGAGTACTTTAAAATTATAAAGATAAAAAAATTTTCTTTATTTTTTTATTTAATAAAATATCTCCGCTATCCATAATTTTCTTAAATTTTCAAATTTCTTTTTTATCAAATTAAAGATTATTTTTTATGAATTCAACCATATAATATAATAAGTATAATAAAGTTATGTTAAAATAATTTTCGAGAATTAATTATTAATGCTTCCGTATATACATAATAAATGCTCATATGCATAAGTAATTGTTATCGGAACAATAAAATATATGAAAACTTGAAAAGATGCTTAAGTAAAATTTGTATATTTTTCTATCTATTTGTATATGCTTTATTAATATGTATTAAAATTTTGTATACAATATGTATATATGTATATATATATATGTAT